TTTGGCAGATGACTCCTCAAGGGCAGATGGTTTACTGTGCAGGTCCTGTCCCTTGTCATTACCAACCGAGTGATTCCCACAAGGGGAATAATCTGGATCATGTCATGAGCCAGGAAGAGGACCCATTAGAGGGTCCTTCTACACCTTGCTTTCAACGAGAATCTGTAATAGACCCATCTGATTCTTCTGATGAAAATGCATTCATTCTAAAGGAACCGAAGGAAGCAGTCCTAGACAAATCTAATGCTGAAGAATTCAAAAAATTTAACGCCATGTTGGCCAGGATGATTAAGGCTTTGGATTTACCAGCACCTAAGCCACAAGATACTGTAGAAGACCCTATGTTTCCGGCTGAGCAGCAGGAATCTCCTGTTAGCACTACGCTCCCAACTTTGCCATATTTACTCAAGTTAACAAAGGTGCCTGAAGGTTCCCCAGCAATGGCACCAGCGATGCCTAGGAGGGTGGACAGTTTGTATAGGGTTGACTTAGCGAATGCTGAATGGCTGGTGCGTCCATTTAGACCCAACACAGTGATTGCAGAAGTGGGTCAGGGTAAAAAACCCAGGAAGACAGCATCAGCCCCGGCAGATAAAGAAGGCAAGAAAATTGACATCATGGGGAAGAAGATGCACATGGCGGCTGGCCTCATTGCGAGGATGGCCCATTACGCTACTTATTTGAGTGCCTATCAAACTTATTTATGGAACAGAATGACACCTTACATTACTATCCTCCCAGAGGATGAGCAACGTTTACCGATTGCATTTAGCAAAGAAGCCCTCATTGTCTCAAGGTACCAGAAAGACTTTGCTAAACATTTAGCAGAATCGGCTGGCAAGATGTTTGCCATTGCCACATCAGCTAGGCGTCATGCTTGGCTAAGGGCTTCGGATCTATCTGAAGAAGGTAGATTACTAGCAGAGGACCTTCCTATGCATCAGGATGGTTTGTTCAATCCAGTTACCGATGATAGACTTAAACACAATCAAGAAATGAAAAAGACCATCCAAGTTTATGGCTTCCCGAAGCAAAATAATTATCAACAGAAACCAAGATGGCAGAATTCTTCGCCTTACTACAAGAGAAACTTCGGTAACTATATGACCACACAGCAAAGGCAGCAGTCATCGCAATATAACAGATCCTTTGGACAACGGAAACAGTTCTATGGGACAAAGAATCGTTTTCTGCCATATCAAAATAAGCCTAGCCGACCAGGTGGCCCAAAACAGCGTTTTTGATAGCGGATCCCAAGTGATGGGTTCTTTGAAAGGTCTCCCTATTGTGGGAGTCGATCCATATGTTAAAGTTAAGAATGTTATTACAGTTAATCATAATTCCTGTTTGGTACTGTTAAGTAAGGAAGTGCGTAACAAAGTACATCCTTTTTTTGAAGACCGCTTAGCTCCTTATTATGGCATCTGGTCTGAGATAACTACTGACCAATGGGTTTTAAAAATTATTAGGAAAGGTTATTTTATTGAGTTTAAGGAACTACCACCAGTTGGTAGAGTTAAGGTGACAACTCCCTCTCCTTTGCTACAGGAAGAGATTAACACTCTGTTATCTAAAGGAGCTATTTCTCCATTAATGCCAGCGGAACATAGGCTGTGCTTTTACTCAAGATATTTCCTGATTTCAAAGAAAGGAGGAGGAATACGTCCAATATTAGACTTGAGAGATGTAAATTCTTACATAACACCAAAGAAATTTCGAATGATATCTTTGAAAACATTGCTTCCATTGCTTAATAAAAACGATTGGTTTGCGACAATAGACCTCAAAGACGCTTATTTCCACATATCAATTGCTAAAGAACATAGGAGATTTCTAGCGTTTATGGTAGGACATCAGGCCTTTACCTTCAACGTCTTGGCATTTGGGTTAGCAACCGCGCCAAGAGTATTTACCAAGTGCATGGCAGCAGTGGCGGCTTACCTACGCACCTCTGGGATTACGGTTTACCCGTATATAGATGACTGGTTAGTTACAGCAAAATCTAGAGATAAAATCATAGCGCATGTCAACAAAACGTTGTGTTTTCTCCAGTCCCTAGGTCTGATCGTAAATTGGGAAAAGTCCCAGCTCACCCCAACAAGAAGGATACAGTTTATCGGAGCGATCTTGGATTCGCAGTTGCAGAGGGCGTTTCTTCCAGAAGACCGCTTCTTAAATCTAAAAAGACTAATTCGGGTGGTGCTCCACCGAGACAGAGTACAGGCCAGAAAGATTCAAGTAATCCTGGGTCATATGGCCTCCACCACAGCAGTAACCCCTCTAGCGAGGCTGCACATGAGACCGCTACAATCGTGGTTCCTGTCAGTATTCGATCCTTTGGTGCACAAGCCGTTCACACTCCTATCGTTACCTGGGGTGATAAGACAGTCCCTGTTGTGGTGGTTGGAACGGGACAATGTATGTGCGGGACTACCTTTTCGGGAGTCTGCTGCTTCCAAAGTTGTTACCACGGACTCTTCACTAATGGGGTGGGGAGCTCATGTGGACAATCTCACAGCTCAAGGAAAATGGTCAACAATAGAATCTGTCCTACACATAAACCAATTGGAACTGCTTGCGGTAGACAAGGCACTAAAGGCCTTCGAACCGGTTTTGAAAAATCGCATTGTCCAAATTCTCACAGACAATACGACTGTGAAGTATTACATCAACAAGCAGGGCGGCACACATTCCCCCACTCTGTTGGCATTGACACTTCAGATATGGCACTGGTGTGTGAAGAGGGGCATCCACCTCACGGCGGTTCATCTGCCAGGGAAACAGAACACTCTGGCAGATTTCCTAAGCAGAAATCCTCTCAGCCATCACGAGTGGGCATTACACGAGGAAGTGACATCCCTCCTTTTCAGAGCATGGGGGACACCAACAGTAGATCTGTTTGCGACGCAAGAGAACAGGAAGTGTCGCCTGTTCTGTGCGTGGACAAAAGGGAATACGAAGCAGGATTGTCTAGGGGACGCATTCTTACTCCACTGGGGAATGCAGGAGATTTATGCGTTCCCTCCATTCCCTCTAATACTAAGAGTAGTATCAAAGCTGTGTCAGGACAGGGCAACAGGAATCCTTGTGACTCCATGGTGGCCACGTCAGCCATGGTTTGCCCTAGTACTTCGGTTGTCAAGGAGAGTTTACAAACCACTTCCCGGCAGGAAGGACCTGTTATCGATCCAGAACAATCAGGTTCTATATCCGGATGTTCAGAGCCTCAGGTTGACTGCTTGGAGAATCCTTCCAATCCAGGAGGATTGATGTTAGGGATCTCAAGTGATGTGAAAAAGGTCCTTGAGGCAGCGCAGAGAGTATCCACGAGAAGGTCATACATTTATAAATGGTCACGATTTACGAAATTTGCTCAGGGGAAAGGAGAGAACCCTTGCACAGCCAAAACTGGGTTAATACTAGAATTTTTGATGTCACTAGCTAACCAGGGCCTTGCCTTGTCTTCGTTGAAGTGTTATTTAGCTGCTTTGACGTGGTTCCGTAGGAAGGCAGGACTTCCGTCTTGCTTCAGTGACCCGTTAATCTCTCAATTCATGAAAGGTTTTGGAAATATTAGGCCCCCAGTAACGCCGGTGGCCCCAGCGTGGAGCCTAGAAGTAGTTCTCTCGGCTCTGATGAGACCACCTTTTGAGCCTATGGCTACAGTAGATCTGTCTTTTCTATCTTGGAAGACGGCGTTTCTAGTGTCTATAACGTCGGCACGCAGGGCAGGAGAGATTTGTGCACTTAGACATGATGAGCCATATTTGAGATTGCACAAGGATAGGGTGGTCCTTAGGACAGATTTAGCTTTTTTACCAAAGGTAGCCACTAAATTTCATCTCTCTCAGGAGATAGTGCTTCCAGCCCTTTTTCCAAACCCGGCTTCTTCTTTGGAGAAGAAACTTCACTTACTGGATGTACGTAGAGCCCTAATCTTTTACTTAGACAGAACTTCGGCTATTAGAAAGTCCCCAAGGTTATTCTTGAAATACCGTAGGGATGCGTTAGGCCTCCCAGTATCATCCCAACGCCTTTCGTCGTGGATAGTATTGACAATACGAAAGGCTTATACTTTAGCAGGGAGGGACTTACCTTTACAGGTGAAAGCTCATTCCACAAGGGCGGTGGCGACGTCGACGGCGTTCCTGCGTGGAGTACCGTTGGATGTGGTGTGCAGAGCTGCAACTTGGTCGACTCCATCTACCTTCGTGGCTCATTATAAGCTGGATGTAACATCAAAGAAGGATGCAGCCTTTGGCCGAGCGGTACTGTTTTCAGCTGTGGCATGACACCCTCCTCCGAGGTTAGCAGCTCGCTAGTCTACCATTTGTGTGAATGACAGGCCTACCACGCGGGGAAAATATGGGTTGCTTACCTGTAAACATAGTTTCCCGAGTGGTAGCCTGTATTCACACGTCCCGCCCATCCTCCCCACTTTTTGGTCATGCCCCAGGGCTTCTGGCTGCCTTTTTTTGCGGCGGAAGAACTGGCCGGTAGCCCCGCGGCAGGGCTATTTATAAGGTGGAGAGAAAGGGGCGGGGCTTTTCTAACGGTCAGTTAGTAGCTTGGGAATGTCCGTTGCTGGCCTGCGCGAGCGCAGGGAATACCATTTGTGTGAATACAGGCTACCACTCGGGAAACTATGTTTACAGGTAAGCAACCCATATATCTGGTCAGTCAAAATTTTATACAGCTCCTGTATGTACCAAAAGACTCAAAACATTCATGAGACGCTACAGATGTTTCAGGCTACCAGTCAATGTTAGCATTAAATAGCAACCTATACTTACTTATCTTTCTTCATCTCTTATAAGATTACTTTAACATCAACCTGGAAAGAAGTAAAGAAAATAATTAAAGAAGATCCCAGATGCATTAAGTTCTCTTCCAGTGACAGGGTAAGAAACCCTAGAATGATTTTTGTTTCTTTTAAATTAGGTATGACTCCCTATCTCACATCCAGCTGTTATCTTTTATTGAATAAAAATACATAACCTACCAGAAAAATGAGATTGATGTTGTAATGGTGACAAGATTTTTCAAATGGGCTTCTTTTCCTGCAGAAAAAGCAAAGGGAATTTGAAGAGTACATCAGAGACAAATACATTACAGCCAAAGCAGATTTCAGAACACTTTTGAAAGAGACCAAATTCATCACATATAGGTATGTATTCAGATCTAACACAAAAATGCCCCCAAATGCTACTTTCTGATTCTTCTTCTTTGTCCAAGCTCTGATTGCAGCTGTCTGTATTTATTTAGAAATCTTTTTAAAATGTGGAGATTTTTGAATTCCCATAAAATATTCCCATAAATTTGAAGGACATATTGAATGTCCATTATCTGAAATGCTTAGAATGAAAGGTGTTTTGGATATTGTACTATTTGCATATACATAATGAGGTATCTTGGGAGATGGGATCCAGGTTTAAACATGAAATGTATTTATATCATAAACACCTTCTATATGTATCCTGGAAGTGATTTTATATACAATATTTTAAAATATTTTTTTGCAGGAAACAAAGTTTTTGAACACGCTCCAAAATCCAAAATAGTCTACATGAATGGCTGAAATAACAGCACTTTTGGTTTTTGATGGGTCAGTGTGTACAAACTTTGTTTCATGTTTAAACCTGAGTCCTATCACTACATTATATCATTTATACACAAGCTTTCCAAAATCCAAAAAAAAAAAATCAAAAACCCAACTCTGAAATTCCAAACACTTTGGGTTCTAGGCATTTCATTTAAGGGCACTCAACTTATATTGCATTTGTTTAGTTCAACTAGTGCTGATTTTTAAGACTGAAGCTTTCTGTTTACCAACTGGACCTAGCAGCTGTAAACAGAAGGCTTTGATGGTAGATTGTTTGCAGTTCTACATCCTTGCCATTTTGCCCAAAGGCGTGACCTTATTTATAGGGGAGTGGAAAGGCCAGTCTCTCTGTGCTTTTGAGTGTTTGCCCTCACTGTTTGCTGTGTCGAAGGGGATTTTGTTTGGGGAGAGAAATTGTTACCCTAGGGCCAGCTCCCTTGTTGGCCTCAGTCGCTGGAAAAAAAGGCTAAACCTTTCACTTAATTGCAGATCCAAAAAGTTGATCCAAGAATCTGACCAACACCTGAAGGACATAGAAAAGATATTACAGAACGACAAGCGCTATCTGGTGCTCGACTGCGTGCCGGAGGAGAGGCGCAAACTCATTGTGTCCTACGTTGACGACTTAGACCGCAGAGGTCCCCCTCCACCTCCCACAGCGTCAGAGCCTACAAGGCGAACGACAAAATAGTTACAAAATACTCTGTTATATCAAGGAGATTGCATGAGCCATCTGTCCAGTTTAATCATACACATTACTATGAACTATTGCAAAACCATCCAAGGAGCAGCGAGGAAAGCAGCATTTGTGAACACAAAACAGTCTCTGTACAGAGAGAACCTTTGCATTGGTAATGCTTTTTCTCTTTGTTGCATGACTGACAAATATTCTAACCATGCAGCTATTTCCAGTGATTTTTAGATCCTAGAACAATGCAATTATCTGTGTACGAGGTATGGATGTTGGTAGCATTTGGAGGCGTCCTTCCTCACAGCTGCGTTATGTGCGAAAGCCTTGGAATGATTGATATTTGTGGTTTAGAGTTTAAGATCTTAAAACAGACACACAAAACCCCCAATAACCACAGATGTCTGAATGGGAGAACCAAGGTCAGGCACTCAAATGATTAAATTATTGACTGCTGAAGACCACAGTAAGATTAGGCTGTGTCTCATGAACCTGAAAATGTATGGGGCCTAATTCTCTATTCATGGGTGGCCTTTCCTGTATAAATCAGGACTAACTCCATTAATGTCAGATCTAGCAAGAGAGGAGAATGAGCCTTGCAGTGACCAAATTGGATTAGACACTATATGATCTTGTTCACAGGCCTGCTTTGCGCCCCCCTCCCCTCCCCTCCCCAATAGGCAGAATCAAGTTGCTTTGCCCAGTAGTCTGGTAATGTTTTGCTGTAAATTCGGAATGCACTGAGTAAAACGAAACAACAAAACAGCCCCCCCTCCCCCGATAGGACGGTTGTAAAAATACACTTTTATTTACCATGCAGTGAGCTCTGCCCACCTCTGGATTAGAAAAAAGATTTCCCTTCTGGGTATTTCTTGTAAACTATATTCCTGTTTTGAATGTTAAACTTGTGTTTCTAAAGTTTAATTTTGAAATTGTTGGGATTGTTCAGTTTACGTATTTGAGCAACAATAAACCAACCCTTTTTACATATGGATTGTACATGCTTCATAATGATTTATTACATTCTGTGGGAGCAGTTGGTATGTCATGTTGAGTTCAATGGGATTGAATCTTGGCAGCCTAATATACCAGAGGATCTATCAGGCATGGGCAAACTCCGGCCCTCCAGGTGTTTTGGACTTCAACTCCCAAAATTCCTATCCGCCTACTGGCTGTTAGTAATTGTGGGAGTTGAAATCCAAAACACTTGGTGGGCCGAAGTTTGCCCATGCCAGGGATATATGGTGGTCAGACATCCTACAAAATCATAATGCTTTACACACACACTCATCATATTTTGTCAGGTAATAAATACACTGGGTAGTATTGCTTACCTTGACATTAAAATAATACTTGTTAAAGCAACTCTTTTTAGTTTTATTCTAAATATTTTAAAATACTGGGTGGAACATTGGTGGTTTTAATTTTGTATTAATGGACCTTGGTGGTGGGGACATGTCTATATTGGATATGTATCTCAGTGGCTTTTACCACCACTAACCTTCATACCCTTCTGGACTGCTTGGCTTGAATGATTCTTGCAAGTAATGCTTTGTGATTTATTCTTGGACTTCCTCAACAGTGTATTTCCAAATTATTGCACAGTAGTTAAGCTATTTGACCTATAGTGTCCTTCCAAGGTTCCATCCTTTCTCCCTATAATAACATCTACATGTAAAAATAGGTCAAAATTATCCAGTGGTAGCATTTTTAATGTCATTTGGCTGTTGATGATTACTCAGTTTTAGCCAATGGAGGGATTCTGTATTTGTGCCTGGGACCGGTATTAAACTGGTTATGAGAAAATGAAAAATTATTACAATGCAAGTGTCCTTGGCCATTTGGGCTGCTAACGTTATGATAAAGATCCATCCTGTTGTGGATGGAGTTGAATATCCTGAAAAATTCAGACTCGACTATTTTTTAGCATTCCCAAAGTAAACCTTGCTCCTGGATACCCAGATTGCAGATGTGTAACCAAAAAAATGTGTTTACCCATCATATACTTGGGTGTCAATTAGGTCTGTTTCTTCGGAAGGGTTTTACAAACTGTTAAAAAAAATCAAGCTGGTAGCTGTCACAAACAATAGTTTTTTAATGGAAAAATGATTATTAAAAAGCAAACAAATATGTGTGCACTTACTTACAGGCACCTTTATGAAGCAAATGGATATGCTAAACCACACATGTAATCATAGTGGCTTTTATTTTTTTATTGACAAAACGAAAGCAATTTGTGATTCAAGAGTTGTATCAAGATATTTAACAATGTCATCGAAGTGGCAACACCTGATAGATAAGTAATTATTCTCCACTGTCTTCTCTTATTAACAATCTAGGACTGTACCTATTTGGATTGCTTGCAAAAATATGCAAAGAGCCATGTTTCACAAAACTATAAGCCTATTTTGCCAAGTATTCTTTATCAAAGTAGTGAACCAGATGTTTACGGAAAGCCCAGGGCATTTGGTCCTTGTTTTCTAGCAATTAGTACAGAAAAGCTAACTACCTCAAATATTAGAGTTGCTGTATAGCCATCTGAGTAGTCTTTGAATTTATTTGAAGCTGTCAAACTTAGTGTCCATCTCTGTTTCTTGTGTTAACACATTCAGTATTTCAACCATTGGTTGTATAAAGAATTACTCCCCTTGGCCTTCCTGAACCTTTCAATGTTCAACAAATAAATGATCCCAAGGTCTAATATTTAAGAGGGATAGGGGGAAAAAAATCTCCACTTTCTTCACACCATTCATATTTTTGCATATTTTTGTAATGTTCCACTTAAACTATTTTCGTTCCTAAGCTAGAAAACTGACAAAAAGCTGGATTTGTTCTAAATATTGAAATGATTCAGCAGCTCAGAATTGTTTTGCTATGTATTGGATAATGGAAGTTTTGTAACTTAGTGACACCTTTTCATGCAACAGTCTTAGATTTAATCTGCTTCTTTAAGTAGGGATAGAAAAAATCCAGTCTCAATCCTTTTGCAAATAGCTGCCAGTTAATATTGATGATACAGATCTATATAGACCAGCAATCTGATTCCTTTGGCAGCTTCCTATATTCTTATGTCATATGACATTGGAATCAAATTAATTCTGCTTTGCACATATACCAACAGATAAACACAGAAAGGAAACATTCTAGCATTTCCAGCTTAGCCACAGATTATATATATATTTGTATTACTTGGTCAGAAACTCACTTGCTTTTTCCAAATTTTTATACTAACATAAACATGAAAATGCTATAGAAAACTAGATATATCTAGAATCTCAATATATTATTATAAATTATATGGTTCTGAAAAAGTTTCTGTTACATAGTGTGAAATCCTTGTACAGTTGATGTGACTTGAAATGATGCTTTCATTTCAGTGCCAATTACAAATATTCAAAGACACATAATGCAGGTTAGGAAATTTGTTCACATACAGGACCTAAAATACAAATCCCACTTCATCATTCAAAGTTGGGAGCTAACACACTTATAAGACTGATCAGTTACTCAAGAAACAATGGCCACTTTTGCTTTGAGCACATTTAATACATAATTTACAAGTGTAGTAGTGACAAAAACACTTGTAATGCGTACTAGCATTTGTAAACAAAACAAAACAGATTGCACATTTGCTCTGCACTTTCGTGGAATTCAACAAAATGAGTTCAACTGAACTTGTCCCTTAAAATGCACACAAGTCTGCTTTATGTGTATTACAAATAAACACGAAACCCTTTTGTTTTATAGTCATATCACACAATTATCATTTATCAATTCACCCAACAAATTGATAAATTAATTCACTACTCTTCAAATTTCATGAACATAAAGAACTTTTCCCTTCTGAAATGTTAACTTAAACCATCCTCCTGAAAGTGCATAATATGACTTTTAAATAAGATGAGTGATAACATTTTAAAAATAGAACAAGTGGAACAATTGTTGCTCTTTGTACATAACATGGATTTTGAAGGGTCTGACAAGTCTCAGGCTCTACTAAACACATGCAAAAGTAAAACTATAGTAGTGCTATACATCCTCAACATACCAGTTCACCATACATCCCAAATAAGAAACAAAATGATAGTGAGTTGAACCCAGGCTTTTGTATGTTTAGAATTAATCAACCTAAGTCCCATTCATTTCAATGGTCTATCATAAGCCTGGATCCAACCTAATTATTTTGTTTGTTTTTTGTTTGAAACAATTATCATTTGCCTGTTCAGCTTTCTGACGTCACTTTTGCTGATCGCAACCTACTGTCTCTTGTCCTTCATGTTCCCAAGGAATGGGGTCATTGTCTTGAGCATCAGGGACTGCTTCTCGGTCATGCCAGAATTGCTCTACATCAGGCAAAATGGGCATCTCCTTAATTTCCATGCTTTCTGAGCTATGCGACAAAGGAGGGGGCTCTTTCTCTTGATCAGGAGTCACAGCCTCTGGAGAAGGAACAGATTCTGGAATTCCCTCCGAATCATTTTCAGCTGCTGTTTCCTCTTGATCCTCTGGACTAGGCAGAGGCTTTTTCAGTGTAAGCCTTTTCCATAAGCCTTTAAAGCCCTCTTTGAACTCTTCAGACATAAGTACGAAGATGAGAGGGTTCGCTGAAGAGATAGCAAACATCACGACTTGAGTAGTGGCCATGAATCCTTGTGGAGGAGCAGGCCCATATTTCGTCTGGTGCCAGAGCCACAGCCAAGATATCCAGTTGGGAAGCCACATCACAGTAGAGGTGACAGTAACGCTCAGAAGCATCATTGTTAGACACCTGGATCGGATTTGATTTCTCAGGTTTTGTGTCTTGGTCCCCCTTCGTTGGCACCTGCCGTAAGCTCTCCAGAAATAAAAGAAAGCAAAGGTGAGGGGTGCACAAAATACTGCCAAAGGATAGAGCTTGACAAAAGCTGACATGAACTCATGGGCTTGAGATGGGATCACCATGATGCACAAAGCAGAGCCCCTCTCTGGCTCCCGGAGGCTGCTAAAGAACCACAAAGGTAATGGGATCCCCAAGGCCACCAGCCAAATCACCAACAGCATTGCACAGATAGTGTGCCACTTAATAGTCACCTGTTTAGCTGGGTCATTTGCATACATGAAGCAAGTCTTGGCTACCACAGCAATGGTCAAGCTCTTGGCTGTCATGCAAGCATCTTGGAACCAGACTGAGGTTTTACAAAGGAACCAACCCAGAGACCAGGCTCCCTTGGAGTAAGCAGCTGCTCTGAACGGCACAACAAAAAGGATGAGCAGAAGGTCTGCAAAGCTGAGGTTGAGGATCAAAGAGTGAATCATAGAAGGTTTCCCCTTTTTGGAGTTGTACAGTAGGATCCCAATGACGCACACATTTCCTGCAAAGCCAGCCAAGCAGATGACCCCCAAGAAGGCTGGGATCGCCACCTTCCACTCTTTGGAGACCTGCGGTTCGTAGCCTCCTGCATAATGGTGTGGTTGAGCCAGAGAGATATTCATGATGGTGAAGGCAGCTTTCTCTCCAGTTCTTAACGCACGTCTCAGTCCTTTCTTGCTGTTTTGTCTGTCCGTCTCTTTCTTATTAAGCTCTCTGTGGCGGAAACAAACCTGTCCTTCCACTGTAATAGTCTCTGCAGTGATCCTCGATACAGCACATGTGGATTTAGCCAGACCTTCCCTTTGCTATATAACTGCTACAGCTTTGATTGACAGTCCCTCCCCAGTGGGAGCACCTAGCCTGCTGCTTATTAGCAAGTCTAATAGCCAGCCGTAGCAGTCCCATAGAGTAATTAAAATGATTCTTCCATAAATGATGCAAAAACACAAAAATTCTGTGCCTGGTTCCCAGTTTTTCAAAAAATAAAATCGGTAATTTGGTAAGTCAGTTCCTGACATTTATTTTAAAAGAACAGAGGGGTTGAATGATTCTTTAATTTTGATGCTAATGTGAACATAGCCCACAGAGTAAAGGAACTCTGTAATCATGTCAAAAAATAATGGCAAAGCTCCGTTCCGTGTGCTACAGGTGCAAATCTCATTTTGACTTTGTGGAAAATTGCCTCTGCAGTTAGGAGATTTAATGATAGGGTAATGTTATTGCACAAACTCTCTGTAATGACAGCCATTGAACAACATTTGACTGTGAGGTGTAGTTAGCTCCATCATACTTTCGGCAGGGATTCGTTATTATTATTATTATTACATCTTTTTTGTTGCTGTATATCAGGTTTGAGCCCAATGGAGAAAAAGAGGCAATTGACAGGTGTTTCAGATTATTTGGATCATTTAACATGCAGGAATTAGATGTGCCCTTTTATTTCATTTGGAAGCATATGCAGGTGTTGGGGCACATTGACTGGCTTATCTAAGGAACTCTTCTTGGGAACTTAGACTCCTTAAGATAGCAATAATTGGAAGGATGGTACATTGTTTCAAATTATTGATTAGCATTTATATCTATGCATTCAAATCCTTCTGTAAATATCTTAGAAAGAGTTACAAAGTTCCTTTAGGATAGACCCTTATAAAACTTTGGACTATATCACACAAGAGAGGCAAATGGCATTGAAGTAGAACATTCCCAAAGCCTCTCTGATGTGCTATGAGTCGTTCTTTTTCATGATAGCAAGGCATAAGCCTCATGACCTAGGTGTACAACTCAGTCATGAACTACAAAATACATCAGCTGCACCCCTTCCTAGATTTGGAGGACCTAAAGATGGTAGTGCACGCACTGGTAACCTCAAGGTTGTACTTCTGCAATGCGCTTTACATTGGGCCACCTTTGTATCAAGTTTGGAAACTCTGGCAGATTCAAAATACAGCAGCCAGATTGGCTACAGGAACATCCAGGAGTGAGCATATTACACCTATCCTAAAGTCACTCCACTGACTGCCAATTAGTTTCCGGGCAAAATACAAGGTGTTGGTTTTGATCTTTAAAGCCCTACATGGATTGGGTCCAGTTTATGTACAGGGTCACCTCCTGTACCATCCACACCATATAGTTAGATCCTCTGGGAGACAGCTACTCCAACGAGCCAGAACTCGACTGGCCACTCACCCAGAGGACCTTTTCATCGGCTGCCCCAAGACTGCGGAAAGACCTGCTGATCAGCTGTCGGAATGTAAAAATCATCTAAAAACCAATCTCTTCCGCCAGGCCCACCCAACCAGTTTTAAGCATGAATTTTAAACACGTGTCCTGTGTTTTAATCTCTGTCCCGTGTATTTAATATGTATTTTATAGAAATTTGTTTTAGTAAGCATCTTATATAGATCTACATTTTAACATATGTGTTTATAGAAATTTTGCAATGCTCATTTGTTTTGACTGTGCTGTGACCTGCCTTGAACCATGAAGGGAGGCAGGGAGGAAATATAATAATAACAATAACAATAGCAATTCCTATGACAGGTTACCTATAACAAGTTACTTCACCACACATACTTTATCTGAAGGTGTAACTAAGGGCTCTATTGAGCCACAGTGCTCCGCTGATTCCTACAACCAAAATACAAACTCCAGGATACAGAGTACTGTCATTCAGCCTTAGTAGCATTCATGAAGGCTACACCAGTGGTGGAAGCATTTCTTCAGGAGTAAATATCATTCTATAACCATATATAAATGACTGGCCAACTGTGGTCTGCAACAGACAGAAATTTCAGTTGACTCTTGAAGTTACTTTAAGCCTTCAGATATTCAGCCTTGTTTTCATGAAAAGTCTATTTAATTGATGTCATCTTTGATTTCACATTCCAGTCTGCCTTCCTTTTGGATGTCCACTTCATGGCACTTAGTCAGTCTTGGCTATCTTTATTAGAGAAGAATCAGAGTCAGTGAGTCTATGACATCTTCTACATCATGACTCATCATGCCACATTCCACATGGGGCCTCTTCAGGCATGATTCACCTCTCCATTTGATCTACTTTGACACTCCCCCTAGAAGTAGCTCACTACTCTAAAAACTCTTAAATGTTTGCTTTGGTGGTGGTTGGACACATCCAATGTTCAGTTTGGCATGCCTTCACTCGTCATCAACCTCAGAAACCTGTCACCACAGATGCTTCAGTGATGGCTTGGGACACTCATTGCAATTGTCTGTCCATTCAATAACTACAGATCCCATCAGATACAGCCCTTACAACAATGCCTTAGTCATGCTGACAATGGATACAGTGTTCTACTGCCTTGGAACTCTTCTGAAGGACAAGGTGGTGAAACTGTACACCAATAACACCATAGTAATGTATTGCATCAACAAAATGGATGTCAAGGAAACTATAATTTTTAAAGATTTGGATAGAGCATAAGAGTCTGTGAAATGGTCAAAATGGACAAACTAACTTTGGCTATATAACTAATAACTAAAAAAATATCAAGAACAATATACATATACTTTGTAATACTTAGTAACATTGTCATGTTAATTTATGTTTTAGTTTTTATGTCTTAATGGATTGTTCTTGTTTTTATTTTATTTTGATACCTAATTCCTTTGTTGTAAGTTTTATGTTGTTTCTGTTGTTGTCCCTATTATTTTGTATTATTTTGATGTGTCTGTGTTTATTTTGAGGCACTGAATGTTTGCCTTTTTATGGTTAAACAACCCTGAGTCCTTCTGGAGAGAGACGGTGGTTTAGAAATGATGATGATGATGATGATGATGATGACTATTATTATTAACCCCTCACTTAAGAATCTCTGAATAATAGAAGGGCTGGTACCCCCTAATTCAATTTGGATCATTTGAAGGGGGGGGATGAAAGTGATACACAGTAAATTAAACTAAAACTTTGAATTATTTAGACAATAATTAAAATTTGATAAAAGAGTTAAAAGAGATAAAATAAATAATATGGATAAGAGCAATCAAGATGAAGAAGAGCTGGAGAAGACAAGAAAAAATGGAATAATACAGAAAATATAAGAAGATACCATTATTAGGTTTAAAATTAGATGATAATACTATTTCACTTCTTGTTATAGAGAATATATGGAAATTGTAATATTTTAATACTTTAAGGAATGTGTAAGAGTAATAGAAATGAAAAATTAGATGTAACAACTACAATTTTGTACAATGTTTTCCCCTCGTGACCACCTGTGATTTGCACCTATGGTAATTCTGCACGCGCGCGCAGGCAGCATCGGACATTCTCGAGACTCCAAAGAACCGTTAGCTAAGCCACGCCCACCTCCGACCACATAAATAGCCCTCAATGAAGCTAACGGTTAGTTCTTTTAACCGCCGCTAAAGATCAGGCAGCTGGATACTTGAGACTCGCTATTTCAGTATCGTACAACAATCTACACAATAGAGCCTAATTGTGAGATCTCCAATTTTAATAATGTCTCAAACCACGGGCTTTAAGCGTTGTACTGCCTGCAACACTAATTTTCCAGACAATGATGCACACTCGCTCTGCATCGTATGTCTTGGAGAGGGGCATATGCATCAACAATGCAATATATGCCAACTATTCACTCCTCAAACAAGAAAGAAGAGAGAGATTCGCCTTAAAGCCGCTCTTTATGAGCAGGCGCTTCTTCCACCAAAGCCCACAAAGCGGCAAGATGGCGACGCAAGTGCGTCAATAGAAATGAACTTACCTGAGGCGTCGTTTTCTGCTCCAGCGAAGACACAGCCTAAGAAGGTTAAGAAGCTTAAAATTAAAACTGCTGGCTTGCTTGGTGATCCAAGCAAGTAGTCAGCAACTCAGGCTGAGCCTAAACAGCCAGCAGGTTTTAAAGCAAAGGGAACAGGAGAAGGTCCAACGCCTTCGCAAGCTTCCCAAAGAGAAATGGAGCCGGTCTCGGCAAAACAACGCACAGCGCATGCGCAAGACTCTAAGGAGGGCCAAACCACTCCCCCGATGCTGACGTTATCGGCGCCTACCATTGCTTATGCTACAGTTTCAAGGGAGGAGCCTACTCAAGCTCCTCCAAAGGACTTTTCCCAAGCACCGGGCCCCTCCTTGGCTGGGGAAGGAGGCTGCTCCGTGCGGAGCCGAGCAAGAGCTCCTTCGCGCCGCGTTGATGGAGAGACAAAGTCTGGAGGGCATCGACGCCGGGAGCGCTCGGCGTCGACAAGTAGCTCAAGCTCCTCCTCAAGCTCCTCCTCTGACTCCTCCCCTTCTAGGGCAAAGAAACAATGTCGGAGGGGAAGAAGCAAGACAAATAAAAGAAGCCAATTTAAAGGAGACAGAGGCTTTAGAGGTTACTCTCTCACATCAGCCAGTTCATGGAGAGGCAGTGGAGAAGGACCTCCCCAAGGGGGATTTTGGCAAATGACTCCACAGGGACCTATTTTTTATGGAGGACCCCCACCATATCATTGGCAGATTGCCAATATACCACGAGATTATGGCATGATGTCCAATGAGCCTATTGCACAGAAAAAAGGCAGGAATTTGCCTTCAACATCAAGGGACATAACAATGTCAGATGACTCTGTAGCAGAACAATATATAACCTCTGATGCACCAATCTCT